GTTCCTGGGTTTTTTGTTCCAAGGGTGTTTTTTTTTCCCGCCCTGGCCCCGGCCCAGGATCCTGGGACCAAAAAGCACGCGCCCTTCGAGTTGCACCGCGCAGTGTCATCTCCGTGCGCTCTGCGCATGATGTATGTATGTTTGTGTGTATTTTTATATATTATATTCAGCGTTGAGAGGTGCATGCTTCTTCCTCTCATCTCTCGCCCCTCAAATTTTCACTAGGGCTCGCTCGCCTCGCGCGCGATTCAGCGGCGCAGGGAGCACAGGCTGAATGGCGCGCACGCCATTATGCACTTCGCGCCACACGCATGCAGGTGAACAGTGCGGGCGTCATATATATATATATATATATATATTATATATGTATATATATATATAATATATATATATATATATATACGTGTGCATATGTGTCGATATATATATATATATATATATATATGTACATACATATATGTATGTATGTATATATACATACATATCTATATATATATATATATATATGTATGCATAGATCCTCGTTCCACCCCTTCCCAAGCGTTTGAATCGATCCTGGCGCTGCAGAAGGCGGCGTTGGCGCGCGAGCGGCATCATGCTGCCGTGTACTACCACTGCTATACACGCATGTTGCAGACATGAATTCGCCCGCCCCTCCATGCGCAGGCCGTGCCATATCTTGCGTGCCTTGGACACCCCTACTGCTTCCATGTCTTGATTGTTTCAATGTCTTTTTTTTTTTTTCTCACGACGTGTGTTTTTTTGCACGACGGGTGGTTTTTCTCCGCGTTCGGCTTCGGGGGGGCCTTCTCGGACCTCGGGTGGTTCAGACCTCTGGGGGTCGACGTCGCGAACAAAAATCACAGCGTCGGGGGTCGATCGTCGCATTTAGGCACTGTCCTTCGCAGGAGCGACGGCTGCGGGTCTCAGGCCAAGTGCGCTGAATGGACAACCGCAGGCTGTATTGCGTGCGCGCATGCTTCAGTTGGAAATGTGCGCAGATGCCCTGCCCGTCGCTGTGTCTCCCCTGCATCCTCCCTCCTCCCTCCCCCCTCCCCCCTCCTCCCGCGGTCCGTTGCAATCTTGGGTCAAAATTCGTTGGTGGTTCAAGTTATTTTGGTAGCGGAGATCGCCTGTCGATGGCGGAACATCGGCACGCGCTTCGACATTTTGGAACGCGCGATGCAACGCGATATTAAGTATATGTGTATGTTTGTGTGTTTATGTATATGTTTAGTAGGTGTATGTATGTACGTATATGTATTTATATGTGCATGTATATGGAGACATCGGACTGGTGTGTATATATATGTATGTATATATACACACATATTTACATATACGTGTGTCAATGTATGTATGTATGTAATCCAACGCCAACGATGCCATGTCATGTTTTTTTGAATTGTCTTGATTTGTTTTATGATCGTCGTGCTTTAAATTCATGACGCGAGAGGCCGTCCTGAAAAAATCATGACCGCAGGAGGTCTGGGAATGAAGCCAGCGGTTGACTGATGGGCCGCAGGGTTCCTCAGAGACCGAGGGCACCCAAGCCCGTGCCATGCACGTAATGACGGCCGGACAACGTCGAGGGCAGCAGTGGTTAAGAATCCTGATCGCGCACAAGCGAGGTACCGCGAAGGCTGGAGAAAGGATGCCTACGACGGAGCCCTTGCGCGTTACTATGCCGCTATGGCGGGCAAGACAGCAACTCTTCCTTCAGAAAGATCTGTGCTCGCCTGGACTCAGGCATCGCCAACTGACAAGCGCCCTGCCGATGGCAACAAGGCGCGAGAGGTCAAGGCGCGCAAGCTTGCCCACCGATGGATGCCGTATCAGGTGTACCACAACCACCCACCAGCAGGCAAAAATGCTGTCTGCCCGCCATGGAAATGGTGGGCATATTTACCCCGGCGTATAGATAAGACTGACTATGGTACGGATATGGGAATATTGAACATCTTCGACTGGGACACAACAGACCCCGATGCCATTGATCTCGTTGAACCCACCAGTGGATGGCGTCGATGGTGTCATGCTAATCGAGCTAACCTCCCAGAAGGTCTCGATCGTCTCTGGACTTCGATAGAAGATGAAATCGAAGAATACTGGAGGCCCAGAGAAGAATGGGCCGCCCCAGAGGAAGGTGGGAACAGGGCAGAGCACGATTAAGAAGCGCGTATACCCCGCGCTCTCTCCAATCGGCCGCCATCGCGTGCTCATGGCAGGCGCGCCCGCTCCACCAACCAGCGGAGGGTTCGGTCCGCAGATGCGCCGATGGCGTTCAGAGACCGCGCAATGCGCAGGCGGACGGGCTCACGCGCTCCCAGCAGGGGCCAGGGCACACATCAAGATGACGTGACAAACACAATCAACCAGTACCGCATCCAGCAGGCAGCCTACGAACTGGTGACGTTCTTCACTACGGTTAACGTCTCCCCCACGCATCACAAAGCGAATACTTACGCTTCGTGTGAAGAGCAGTTACGCACAATGTGGAGCGACCCGCCAGGGCTTTGCGCTTACGATCCAGACCTAGACGAAGCAAGAGAGACATGGCTGGCTAAGCAAGCCTACAGGGCTACCATCGAAGTGTCGAAGACCTACAAGTGGACACTGGTTGATATGGAGCATGCGATCGAGGACGCCAAGCGCATCCATCTCGCTGAAGTGGACAAATTCCGCGAGACGCTGTCCCGGGAGCTCAATTTTGTTTAGTCGCATCATGCGCTGGTCGAGCTAGTCCACAAATATATCTACAATAATCGGCGATATTTACCGCACATTATTGAAGGCGCGCCCAACATCGAGGCGTGCATGCAGTATGTGCTTCAGTCTCAGTCAACCGCTCAACTTCGAGGTCAACAGCTTACGGTCGATGCTCTCAGGCATTCGGCAGCTGAAAAGTGGGCGCTGCACGTGTATGAGGCTGGTGTCTACGCTCTGCAGGCGCGGGCGCAGCACGGAGTGCCGCCGCCCCCTGACTCGGAAGAAGAGCGCCGCCCTTCGCGCGTGCCAGCGTCACAAAGGGCGCGGACTCGCCGGCCCGCTGCGACCACCGAACGGGCTGCGCGGTCCATCAGCCGAAAGCGGCCGCATAGCCCTTCGCCTGCACCAGCGGCCAGGGCGGCGGCGCGCGAAGCGGCTGCGTTTCCGCCGGCCGAGGGTGGAACGGGCAGCGCGTCAAGTGGCGCTGCCCCGCCGCCTCCAGAGGCTGCGGGAAAAGGCAAAGGCGGAAAGCGACCGAGAGAGCCGGGGTGTAGCCGCACGGCCTCCCCGCCCGCAGTCCGCCCATGCCGATTCACGGACGTCCGCCAAACCGAGTCTGGCGGCGCTGTGTCGTCGCCCTCCCGGCAAATTCCCGAGGCCCAACGCCGCCCGTGGGCTAGGGGGCAAAGCCGAACCCCTAATGACAGCGCCTGGAGTGCGTGGAGGGGCACCCCCAGCCGCGACTGGAGCAAAGGGCCAGGAAAAGATCGCGGGAAGGGTGACTACAGCAACTGGTCCGACCGGCGCAATGACGACCGGGACCAGTGGCGCCGCGACGGCGGATGGCGCTGGTGAGCAACAGACGCCTAACGCCAATGGCGTTCTGGAGGCTGTACCAGTGCAAGCGCATGCTTTCTGCCAATGGCCGCGCAGTGTGATGCAACTCGCATATGGGATGGCTTGAGGCTGCGGGAACTTCGCCCCTCCATCAATACATGATATCATCGGCCAATGGCCAGATGATTAATGCCACTTGACCGGCGGGCTGCTGGCGGCTGTGAGAGCCTCGCGCCCGCGCTCACTGTAATTCGACGCCGTCGGCAACGAAGAGTCCCGATGGTAAGACGTCGGCCCTGGCCGGCGCTGCGGCCGGGCCGCCGCGGGGGGAGTCGTTACTATGCGCTCCTCGCCGCCGTCGAAGTACATATAACCACACGCGCAGACACATAGTTGGCCGTCTGCAGCAATTGTGGTTCGGAGAGTAAAAAGGCCCGCGCCCGCCCCGCGCGCGCGTGCTCATACTATTACACTTTCTTTACCCTACGCTGAACGGGATACCACATTCCTTTACAGCCCGCGATGTCCGAAGACCCGCTAGCATGGACCCCAACAGTGAGGACTACCTTACTTGACGACATTGGCCTGGTTGGGCCTAAGTTCGGTAAAGATGGGAGGAGGAGGAGGAGGAGGAGGAGGAGGAGGAGGAGGAGGAGGAGGAGGAGGAGGAGGAGGAGGCCCTCGTTGGAGAAAAAAGAGAGGCTGCACGAGCACAGACTTCGGAGGTCCGCGCGCACTCCCCGTGTCGACGCTGGGCCTCCCTCCCGCCCCTGGCGCGGTCCTCTTGCGCCCAGAGCGGTGCGGGGGAGGGGGCTCGCGGGCGTCCGACAGTCTTTGACGCGCAGTCGAGCCGCACCATCCTCCTCCTCCTCCTCCTCCTCCTCCTCATCCTCCTCCTCCTCTCCTCCCTCCTCCTCCTCCTCCTTCTCCTAATTGCGCCTCCTCCGTTCCTCCGCCTCCGCCTCCTCCTCCTCCTCCTCCTCCCTCCTCCTCCTCAGGATAAGTACGGTGCGTTCGCGTCGTGTCGACCATTGGCGACCCCGCCGCCGTCGTTCAACGTTGAACGCCGCGGGCGACCCAGAATCCGCCGATGTTGAACGATCGGACGTTTCGCAAACGGCTGATCGTTCGAGGTTGAGCGATACCCGCAGTGTCGGGAAACCACGCCAGGGTCGACACGACACGAACCCGCGATAGTTACCATCTGGGCCCATCCCAGCCCTCAGCCCTGGGCCATGGTTTGCCAGCTTCGGCTTCGATTTGGCGTCCAAGGCGGTTGCAGCATTATCGCGCATCCTTACGATCTGGTCGCACTGTATGCCGTTTCTTTTTCTTCTTACTGTTATTCGTATCAGTATTCGTATTATTATTAGTATTATTATTATTATTGTTGTTGTTGTTGTTGTTGTTGTTGTTGTTGTTATTGTTGTCCTTCCTGTTTTCAATATATAAAGGAGGAGCTCATCCGCGGCAAGCGCCTGTTCAACGTCGCGTGCGGGACCTGCCACGTCGGCGGTGGCACGCGCACGAACCAGAGCGTCGGCCTCGGCATCGAGGAGCTCTCGGGGGCGTTCCCGCCGCGCAACACCATCGACAGCCTCGTGGACTACATCAACGCGCCCACGACCTACGACGGCCTGAAAGATATTTCCGAGGTCCGAGCAGCCAACATCTACGCACACCCCCACATTTTCGGAACCTCGCCAGGATTTATTGGGTCGTGGCTGGGCGCCCCGCCTGGCGCACTCCAGGCGCCAGGGATCGGGGCCAGCCCAGTCGGAGAGAACCGCGCGGACATCAAACAATCATGTCTATGCCGTTGTGTGATTATTATTGTTATTATTATTATTAGTATTATTAGTAGTATTATTACTACTATTATTATTGTTATTATTATTTGTTTGTATTACTACTCTTATTATTATTATTATTATTATTATTATTATTATAATTATAATTATTATTATTATTACTATTATTATTGTTATTATTATTAGTATTATTATTATTATTATTATTTTTCTAGAGGTGCATGTTTTGTTTTCGGTGAGTGCTGGATCCCAGAGGCCACGGCTTCGCCCACCGGTCTGAGATATGCCCAGGCGCTTGTCCGTAGTGGTGGTCGTTAGTTCGTTCGTTCGTTCGTTCGTTCTAGAGGTGCACCCGTCTATCATTGCCGCCGACCTGTGGCCCAAGATGCGGTCCATGAAGCAGCAGGACCTGTACGACATCTCCGCTTACATCCTGTACCAGAATTATGTGATCCCAGAGAAGTGGGGCGGCGGCAAGCAGTACTACTGAGGATGTCTTGAAGACTCGGGCCCGCTCCTCCTCCCCCTCCTGCTTCCCCCAGTGAGTTTTTAGTACACGGCTGACGCCAGGATGGGCTTGCTGGATGGCACGCACACTCGTCAGAAGCAGAAAAATGCCGGCGCAAGCGTACACAATGTCGAAGGTCCGCGCGGATTTCCTGGACAGGCGTTGGACCTCCTTCCGTACCTGGCGCGCGGAGCGCGCCAGGAGCGGCGCCGGAGGCGTCGCCAGAGGGGACCCGGCACAGGTCCAAGAAGTCCGCGCGGAGCTCCTAGAGTTTATGTTTATGCCTCCTCCTCCTCCTCCTCCTCCTCCTCCTCCTCCTCCTCCTCCTCCTCCTCCTGTCATGTCCTCCCCCTCCTCTTCCATTTCTCGCGCGCGGGAACCATACTTATCCGCATCCACGGCCTTACGGTCTGGGCTCCTCAGCCGCGACCCTACGGATACGGGGCGGCTTTTCGCGGATGCCCCGTGCAGAATGTATCCATGCGGTTGCGCATGGAATCGAGCCTCGGGATCCAGTCCGCAAGGGTACGTATGGATATGGAGATGTTCGTCGCTCCTGAATCCTCCTCCTCCTTTCTAGGCCTCGCGCAAGATTAGATAGCCACCTGGCGGGGAGTGGCAGTGGAAAGCAGGAGGAAGATCGTCGGTTGACATCGGAGGGCGCGGAATCGTCGCTCTGCGTGGGGGTCTTCTGACAGGTGCGATGAGACCCCTCCTGGACGTGATGCGTTTGCCTCCCAAGGTTTTCTCCACACTGCATCGCTGTGTGGGGGGGAAGCTCCCTGGAAGGTGAGAGGGGAACCATCGGCGAGGAAGTTCCTGTCCCCCTCGCCTTGAAGGCCGGGGGAAAGCAGAGGCGAGGACGTTCCTCGCCTCCGCCCTCCCCTCGCGGAGCGCAGGTCGGCCCAGGCGGCCCTTCGGGCCGCCCCGCCCTGCCCTCGCCCAGCAGGGGCGGGGGCCGCAGGGAAGAGGAGGGGAATGCGGGGGAGGGTGGTGGTGCATACGTTTTTTCGGGGACCCGTAGACACGTGCTGACCATGACAAGGATGTCGCTAAATCTCGTCGACGCCGATCTTGGTCGTGGTCCCATGCCGGCCGTCGCTGACTCGCGAGGACGATCCGCGAGCTGACAGCGACCAAGGTGGACGGTGACCAGGGTCGGCACGGCGTTTCCGCGCTCAGTCTTGGCCATGGTCCGAGGCAGGAATTTATACATGACCACCGTCCGGAGGATCAGTTTTCGGGACCTCGGCAGGCGCTGGACATGGACATATTCGGGCCCCCGAGGGCCAAAATATATCCATATCCACCGCCTGCCGGGGCACCAGGACGTCGGTTCCCAGGCGGTGGATATGGGTAAATCCCCGCCTCGCACATGGTCCCCCTTGTCTTTCCCTTCACTGCTCCACCACTGGCCCGGAGCCGAAAAGCTCTGGCTCGGGTCGCTCGGGCTCGCGGCCTCTGGCGAGGCGCCGGGCCTGCGCGTGCCCGAGGCCTCGTGCGCGAGCTGCCCGCACCTCGCGGCGACCGCGCTTCTCTGCATGGCGTGCTGTTTCGCTGCGGACGTTGTTTGCCGAGCCCGCCACGGCCTGCTCCCGGAAAGGCGGAGGAGGAGGAAGAGGAGGAGGAGGAGGAGGAGGAGGAGGTGGGGGAGGAGGTGGGGGGGGAGGGGGAAAACGAGGAGGGGGGGGGGGGAGGGAGGACCGCGGCAGCCGTTTCATGTTCTGCTTCCTCCTCCTCTTCTCCTGCTTTTCTCCTCCTCCTTCTCCTCCCCTTCCTCTTCCTCCTGCTCCTGCTCCTCCTCCTCCTCCTCCTCCTCCTCCTCGTCCTCCTCCTCACTCGAATGGGAGGGGTCCGCTGCCGTCTGGTTCACAACGGGCCTGCGAACCTGTTTAGTGTTGAGAAGCTCAGACCGCCGCCCTGCTATTTCTCATGTTACCAGTGCCGATATGTCTCGTACCTTCCACCACTGCCACCCGCAATTGTAGTTGCGCTGCGCAGGATCGCGCGGGGCGGCCCTGGAAAGGCACTTGGGAGGTGCCTGCGTGCGGTCCAGGAACCCAGGCGACGGGTGCTACGCAGAGATGACGGTTCATGAAATCCCTTAATTCACTATGAAGAAGAGATCCTGACACCCACTTCCTGAATCAATTCCTGAAATAATTCTTGAATCAATTCCTGAATGGATTCCTGACTTGATTCCTGAATTCATTCCTGAATTCATGAATTAATTCTTGAATTAATTCCTGAATTCATTCCTGCAGTATTTCCTGAATGCAAACTTGGCATCATGCATTTTGCACACGGAACTGCGCTTAGTGCGATGTGGAAGCACCTTCGCATTCTCCCCGACTTCTTCATCGGTACCACCCTCCTTCCCTCGAACAGTTTGTGCTTGGGGCTGTTTTGCAAACCGTCTGGTACTTCGCCCTGGACGCTCACAGGCGACGATGACGACAAACGCCGTATGCAGTATGAGACGTGCGAGAGTCAAGCTGTGCATGGTCACAGCAGCCGCAGGCTTTACCGCGATGTGGAGCGATTCGCCCACGGGAGCGCCACGACGTTCCCCGACCCATCGCACCCCACACGTACTGGCCGCAGCTTCGCGTCGCGCATGACTGACGCTCCGCCCTGGACTAGCGCCGTGCCTCCCGATGTATGCGACACTGCTGGCTGTCCTTACGGGCGCGTCGCCTCATTCGAGTGGAGTATTGAACGCTAGTGCACCTATCTCACCACCCTTGGCACCAGTCAAACGCAACAACACCATTACGGCTGCCACCTGTTTCAACGTGGTGTTCGTCCCTGCGCAGGCCCGAGCCCCAAGACGCTTCCGCAGCTCACATCGTGGTGGAGTCGAATCGAGGAGGAATCCCATATTGGCGCTCGGGGGCAGCAGGCCACTCATCACCAAACGGATGTCGCCGATGCATCTTCTTGTCCCGACGATGGACCGCAGCCGTCCGGACACGCATCTGGCGAGGGCTGCGGGCATTACGTCCAGGTGCAGCCGACATCATTGGGGTTGTTCGGTTTCATCATTAGGGCTGCCAACGCATCATGGACTTTACCATTGCTCACTTGGGTTGCTCGTTTCATCCGCCTCTTCTACCAACTCGGCAACTCCGAGCTGCCGTGCTTCGTCTTCTTCGGGTTCTTCCTCGACGCGGACTTCGACGGGGATCTCGCTACCACCTGTGCCAGCACCCTTCCAGGATCAGGCGTCCTGGCACTTATTGTTGTCGCGCCGCGTGTTGCCTGCAAGCCCGGTCATTCACCCTTTGCCAAGGAACAGGGAAGTGGCCCAATCTACGCGCCACGTCGCGCGCGGCCCTGGCCAGAACCACTTGTCAGCCCCACCGCCGGCGCGCCGCCTGCTCACCCATTCAACAGGGTAGCGATTCGCACGCAATCGGGGCAAAGCTGTGCCATTCACTTGACGCCGAGACCTGGCGCCCCAAGCTCTAGCGCACGCGGCGCCTCCTGGCGCTCGGACGCACGATTCGCAGAGCGTGCAGCTTCAGGCGCGCTGACAGGTCTGATCGTGCCTCCAGCCGCAAGATCACGTTCACGCCTTGCGCTGCGCCGCTCGGTCTAGGCACGCGGCCGCACGGCCATCTGCACCCCCTCTGCCAGCGCAGCTTCGGACAGAGAGGTGCGCGCATGTCTCCTGAGTTGCAACTGCTCTATCGCTCAGGACTCGCTGGTGGGGAGCACGCCTGCGCATTGCCAGTGCTCGGCAGTGCAGGCCTCGCGGCGCGCGGTGCCTGCGCGCGCCCGCGCGCTGCTCGGCGCGCCCAGGGCATTGCCCGTGCCCGGCGGTGCAGCAGCGCAAGCGCGGCGTGTTATGCCTTGGCACTTTTTGGCGTCGCGCGACGCGCGTTGGGGCGCGGTCAGTGCCCGGCGGCGCCGGCGCGTTCGACGCGCAGAGCCCGCGCGCGCCTGCGCGCCTTGCAGCGCGCGCCGGGCATCAGCGCGCCCAGCTTCGCGCTGGAGCGCGCGCAAAGGCAGAGGCGTGCCGCGCTTATTCTCAACAGCGCATTGCGCCGCGCGCGCGCCGGGGCGCCGCTGCGCGCGGCCGCGCGCGTCTTCGCGCGCAGGCTGGCGCGCCAAGCGCGCCCGCGCGCGGCCGAGCTCGTATCCGACCGCCTCTCAGAGTACCTGCCGGCGCCGATGTTGGTTCTCCCAGCCGCGCCCGGGCTGCGATTTGCCACGTCACGCGCGTCGCGCGCAACGCAGCTCTCAGAGAGATCTCGCGTGGGCCGGGTCAGCCGGCATGCGAGTCCTGCCCGTGCGCACGCGCGCCACATTGCAAGCTTTTCTCTGCGTGTCTACCTCGATCCACCTACCCAGCCACGTCGCCGCCTCAGCGAATGGGGGCAGTTCAGGCGCTCGCCAGCCGACGCGGACCGTGCTACCTCACAGCGCGCCGCCGCTCAGCCGCGCAGTCGCCGCTCGGCGCGGTCTACCTCCGGCATGCAACCCGCTGCGGGTCTGGCACTTGTCCTGCCCAGTGCGCTGTCACTCTGGGCCGCCGCTCGGCGGGGGAGTGCCTCCAGTGAGGTCTCTCCGGCCGAGTCAACGGTTTGGCGCCCCCCCGCCAAGGGCGCCCCCGGTCGGTCCGCACCGCTTGCGGTCGGCGCCTGACGATCCAAGGGGTCGAGCTCCACTGAGCCCCCGCCTCCTCTCCGATTGACAGCGCCGCGGCGCGCTGGGCCGCCGCGCCCGCGCGGGGCCGGGCGCGGCGCGCTCGCCCCGCGGGCTGCGCGCACCGGTCGGCAAACGAAGGATCTGACTGTGGTCTTCGCCGAAATGTTCCAGCACCTGCGTCGCGCATCGCGTCTTCTTCGACCTGCGCGTTCGCGCCCGTGTTCATGTCCATATTGTTCTACATGTTTTTTTTCAGTGTCCCACTTTTTTCCCGACCTAGGCTCTGCCTAGAAGGGTTCTTACTGTCTCGGCTGAAAGGGGCCGGGCAG